CTTTCCTCTTCCCTCTTCCAGAGGTATCTGAAGCGGCTGGGCGTGGTGGTTCATACCTGTAATCCTAGCACTCTGGGAGGCCAAGGAGGGAGGATTGCTTGAGGTCAGGAATTTGAGACCAGAGGTATCTGAAGGTAAAGGCTTCAGGAGTTCACCTCTAAATAGCCATCCATATTTAAATGGTTTCTTAATGTTCATACATTTGTGAATGGCAAAAACTGAACCGGCCTTAAAGATTATTCAGAACACTATTTTTTTTTTTAGAATGGGGAATATGGAGGCCCAAGCAGGGAAGGGGACCTATCTAGGGCTCCACAGTAGTTCTGTACATTTTGATATAAAACTGTTATTTTCATAACTGATGCTTGAAAATACCTCGTGCTCACCGATTCTGCCACTGGAGCACCCCACAACATTATAAATTTATACACTAAATATATTCTCTCTAAAAATCCCTTATATTGACAATTCCAGGTCACCCTTACCTTGGTAGTACCAGAATTTGCAGAAGAATCAGCCCCATAAATTTTAAAGACTTCCTCAATTGGGATACTGTTCTGTTAAACAACAGTAACAACAAAGTGTTATCATATCGTGACTTTTCTTTCATTACATAACAAAGCTATTATAGCTCCAGGATGTCTACAACTGTGTTTGGCTAGTGTGGGCACTAAATACAGTAATTAACTTCTGAATAAATGGATAAATCAGTTTTCCAAATATCAATTAGTTATGTCTCTCATTCCCTTCATTTTTTTGCCTCTTAAATAAATGTTTTCACACTACAGTGTAGAAGTCAAAGTCTTTTTATTATTTCAAAATATGAAACATTTACTATTAGAAACTCCTAAACACATAGAAACATTGGTTTAAAAATAACATAAATATGCTTCATATCAAAATACAGGTCAGGCGTGGTGGCACGTGCCTACAGTCTTAGCTGTTCAGGAGGCTGAGGCAGGAGGGTCGCTTGAGCCCAGGAGTTCAAGTCTACAGTGAGCTCTGATTGCTCCACTGCACTCCAGCCTGGGTGACAGAGTGACACCCTTTCTCTAAAACAAAGCAAAACAAACAAAAAACCCCAAAATACATGTAGTAGGTATGAAATATCCGTATATGCAAACAGTATTCTTTTCCTTACCATTAAGATTCCAGCATAAGATGATAAAATCATAGCTTCTCGTTCTCTGCGGTTTGGGTACGTGGGCCTACCACGGAGTGGCATTTTCCTAAGGGGGAATAAGAATCAATAAGCGGGGAGGATTTATTCTTGTTCTTCTTGACACCTAAGGTTGTGATGATAACCCATGAGTTATGTGCAATGGCTGTGTGCTATCTGCTTATTTATAAAATTGATGATTGTCCCTCCATCAGTGAAACACACTTTGAATTTTTAATCTTCCAATAATGGTGACAAATTTGCCCTCATCTATCCATGTTTCACAGCTACATCAAACATTGGCAGACTGGCCACGTGATGGATGTTTATGGCTTTGCCAACCACTGTCCTTTCCCTTTCTTATAGCAATTTGCTTGCGGGGAACTGCCTAACCCCACTGTAAGCCTGCATGCTTCCAGGCAAGCCAACAACACGCCTATATTCCAAGGATGGAAAATACACTATGGACTAAGCTTGCCACTGTATTCCATTCCTCCCCGTCCAACCCCAGGCGAGTCAGGGCAAATAGAGCCATGGAGACACAATTCTGTAATTTTTTTTAAAAATCCATCCTCCCTTAGACTAAACATTATAATGAGGTAGCTGAAATGAAGATTGGTGTCCACTCAGAGGAAATAGAGTCTAGAGGTAGATTCTGGGCCAGGTGCAGTGGCTCACACCTGTAATCTTAGCACTCTGGGAGGCTGAGGCTGGAGGATCGCTTGAGGTCAGGAGTTCAAGACCAGCCTGAGCAAGAGCAAGACCCTGCCTCTACAAAAATAGAAAAATTAGCTGGGTGTGGTGGTGTGCCCCTGTAGTCCCAGCTAATCGGGAGGCTGAGGCAGGAAGATTGCTTGAGCTCAGGAATTTGAGGTTGTGGTGAGCTATACTCATAGCACGGCACTCTAGCTTCGACAACAAAGGAAGACTCTGTCATAAAAACAACAAAAAAAGAGAGATATATTCTGGTGACATTGTTTGAGTTTTGAATTAAACCATGCCTGCCTAACACAGACCTACCCCCCAACTTTTCAGATATAGATGCAAAAAATTCTCTGCCCCCTTTTTTTTCTTAAGGCTGTTCAAATTGGATTTTTCTGCTTATTACAACGAAACCCTAACTGCTATATCTATTCAGATCTGGCATGTAATCTAAGGGCATTGAACAGAAAAAAAAAAAAAATAAATAACTGGCCTCTGGAATAAGATATTTGATCTTGGCCTCATTAGTTCCATGTTCTCACCAATTGAGTGAGTCTGCCTGGACACTAAACATGGCAGAAAATGCCAATAATCCTGGAAAGAAAATTATTCTGTGACTCGAACAGCTCAGCCCTAGTACATATTTGCTTAAATGCTTAAGAAATTGTGTTTGCTAGTACTTAGGAAAAGATTGCAGCCTTTACCCACAGAACTGACCATTTTAAAAATCATGGCACTGTGTAAGAAAGTCTTTCACTTCATAGAAGCCAACTAGCAGAGATGCAGTGTATGTAAACACATGTATGACTTCCTCAAGGTGGCAACTGTGGGGTTTCTTGAAGAGGGCTGTTCACCCTGCCAGTGCTTTCAGATCGGAATGCCTCAAGAGGGAAGACACTAGATAGGACTGGAACTTCCTCTATCATTAATCATAGTCACACATTAAGGAGAAAAACAAAACACCTGTTTCAACTTACGCTTCCTCCCACTCCAGCCACGTTAAGTCTTCCGAGTGATCCAGCCATTGCAAAGCAACGCTGATGGCCAAGTCATAGTGAGCCTGCAAGCAGAAAGCACAGAGCAGAAGAAGGGGTTTAGACACTGGCAGAAATACTCCCTGGACCCAACGACAAGGGCACTACTAAGCCTATCTCACTATTTTGTCATGTCTAAAATGGGAAAGATCATTAGCTATGTCTGATAACTTGATGCTCAGCCAGAAATATTTAGGGATCTTCACGCATTAAATTTATCTCCCACTAGAGCAGTTATTTGATTTGTGTGATCTGGAAAAGAGAGACCAATGGAAAGAATACTAAACCAGGAATCAGGGAATCTGGGCTCAAATCTAAGTATTGTCCACAGCTCACGGTCTATCCTTAGGTAAGTAATTGATGCTCTCTGGGCCTTGTTTTTCTTATATTTTAAAATAGAAAAAGGTGAGGGTGGGGGAAGAAGGCCACAGAGAACAATTTCTGATTGTGTGAGTAGAATGTCAGAAATGCACTTTCAGGGGAAGCGTGGTGGGAACTT